TGTGTGAGAGAGAAAGTGAGGTATTCCAGACTTTAATGTAGCTAAGGTAAATGTATGCTTAAAATTCTGTGAGGTGGTTGGTTAGACTTGCAACTGATAGTGTGAGGGGAAGGTTCATCTGCTAGCCAAAGGTCTAGGGTCAATGAGGCAAAAGTCTTGAAGCCCAGATCTGTTTCTGGAGTGGAATTTACATAAACCACTCTGAAATGTTACTTGAATAACACCAGAGTGGTTCATCAAGTGGATTATGTCAGCTCCCAAGATAGCCTCTTACAAGGAATCAGAAAATGGACTAATTGTACAATATAAAGATCTTTATTCAGATGGGGCAGTGTCTCTTTCTTTTACTAATTTTAACGTGAATGCTTGCAACGTGTAAATTTGTCCTTTTCCTCAGTGAGAAGGTCAGGCTGAAACTTTTGCTTTCCTTTAGTTGTCCACATCCTGCCAACTGTCCTTTGAGCCTTTCCCAGTAGGAAAGCCATTTTGAGTCATTTAATGATTACCCTGCATGTGAACTTTAAATTAAAAACAGCAGCTACAGTTAATGGAGCCCACAGTATCTTCTGCAGGCTGCAAAGATCAGTCGTGGGAAGAGTGGTGGCTTGTCAAGCCTGCTAAATAGAGATGGCCAGTTTCCAGCTCTCAAAAGGAGGAGATGATGGATGAGAGATGGGGAAGGAAACAATCTCATACAAACAAGACTCCCTTAGGAACAGATAGCACAAGCTGCCAGTGTGCATGAAATACTTGCATGCAATTTTCCTTCATTTAAGAACAGGCCATTTCAACTGCAGGTGAGATGCTTTCTTTACTTTATACCCTTCTCATGTGGAAGCACATTTTTCAAGTAATGTGTGGGAGATAAGTGAAAGCCCCGTTCAGTGTCAGTGTTCCCGTATCAAAAGAAATCTGCCTGTTACCAGTACGTTATGAAAGCTCTGGGGCAGGGCAAAGCTCAGCTTCAGCAGGCCTTGCTCAGACAAGGTATCAAAAATAATTTTCTAACTGATTGTCCTCTGCAATACCAATGCTAGGTAAAACAGTTCTCCTCGTGCTGAACTACTTGCTTTGAGGGAGACCTGCGAGATAAAAACATAAAGGCAGTAAGAACAGCCCAGGACCATGTGAAAGCCAGGGCAGGTCAAATTAGAGCCCAGGTCTCCTTGCTGTCTTTCCCAGTTCTGACCACTAAATTCCCCTCCTGCTCCAGTTCTAATGAAACAGCTGGTGAGCTAGGAATAGCTGGAAGGAAATTCCTCAGCTTCACGGTTATACTGCTTTATACTGCTTTACCCCTAATGCCACTGAAATCATCAGAGTTAAACCAATGTGAGACCAGGTCGTAGCCAGAATAAGCACAAAATAAGCTAACCCTTTGCTGGTAAAATACAGAAGGGCATGCTCACCTTCATCTGATGAAGGCGCAAATGGAAATAATAATGATACCTTAATTGGTCAAGTAACTGTAAAAGCTTATGAAAAATTGCTGTTGTCACGTAAGATGAGAAGAAACAGAATGTTTTTAAATCATTTACAACAGCTTGTGGTCTGTTATTCTGCTCACTTTTGCTAGCAGGGCTCCCCTATGCGATACATAAGGGGTGATAAGGAAAAAGTCTTAAGTTTTAAGGATCTTCATACTTAATGTTATTAGTGAGTGGAGGCCACTGTGTCTCAAGATCTGGGTATGTGTTAGGATGGTGGGATTCTGGAGTCAAAGCTGTCAGCACAGCAATTCCAACCCGAATTCTTTCACGTGTCTTGGGCAAGTAAGTCAGCAGCAGGCAGCCAGAGCACCGTGTGGTGATTTGAGCAGTAAGCTGGAGTCACCCTGGCGATGGAAGCAAATGAAAGGACCTGCTGCTCCTCCTCCTCCAGAGCACAGAGATGAGATAGGCGCAAGATGAGTTCCAGCAGCTGCTGACTATGGCTGCTATCATAAGGATAATCATAGTTGATACTCGAGTGTAAAAACAGTTGCTACAGCAATCTCTCACGTGTAAGTACTGTAAACTAGCAAAGGTGTTAAAGTTTATACAATCTCGGAAGAGTACCTGAGACCTTACACACCTAGGTATCTAGATCTGTGTCCTGTGGAAGTTTTCAGCCCTTTTGTGTCTTCCTTCTGAAGAAACTGGTATTGCTTGCTGAGAGAGTTAGGACGTAGGACTAGAGAAACTAGTCCTTTGATGCAGTTTGGCAAACTTCCTGATTCTAGGCAAGCCTAAGTGTTAGACCCTAAAATAATTTCCAACTTGGGACACTGTACAAATTATCCAGGTTTTTGGAGCATTTTCCTTTAATGGTGTGACATGTTTACATAATATGAACATATTTGAAAGAGAACAAGGCTACATTATGGCAAGTTCTAAAGGCATGAAAGCAACTGAAACTTTCTTCTCACCTGGTGCTGATGGTGATGTTTTCCCATGCACTGAAGGCAGAATCCTATTGACCGTTGCTCTTTGAAGGAGTCTGGGAGCTCGTGGCTCTCAGGTCTAGTGTGAGTACTGGGTAGCTGTGAGCTTCTGGTGCTTTGCATTGTCACTAAAGGCTCTAGGCACCAATATGGCAGCTTAAATCAAAAGCATATTTTTGTCCCTTTTATGTCTGTCTTCATGTCTGTGCCTCAGTAGTGAGGATTTTCTCAGACCCTGCAGAATCAGGCTCTTTAATCTGTTGCCCTCGTGTTAACTTTTGACGCCATGTCCTGATTGGGCTGCTGCCAGGAGTGGCCTTTTGGAAATCCCAGCTGCAGCCATTATTTGTGCCACCCCTTTTCCCTAGGGGCTAATGGAATGGAGCAACAAGGCACATAAGTGTGCTGTGTGAAGAAACAGATGCTGTTTTGTTTGTGTTCAGGTCCCTAGTGCCTGCTTTGGATTCCATTGTGTTTAAATACAAATACAATAGTTAATAACTTTGTTCCATGCATTGTCCTCCTGAAGTGACTACATGAAGGAATTGTCTGGGTAGGGAATTAATTCCATTTTTTGCTGAGCTGATTTGTGTAGTTTGTTCTGCCTTCTAAGCACTGGCTAACTCCTCAGCAAGCAGAAACCTCTCACTTAGAAATAACAACAGTTTAAACCTTGGTACGCTGCTACTTCCCTCTCAGCCCAGCCTCAGTTCCCTTGGCACTGGTGGTAATGCCTAAGGTATGCTCTTCCAGCATAGCTAACAGTTGGACTTCAGCTCGTATAAGATGGTGTAGCCTCCTGCATGCAACAACACATTTGCTAAATAATGGTCAAAGCTCTGCCTGGCCTCGTTAATGCAGCTATTGCTCCTGCCACTACTACATAAGTACAGGTGAGCTCTACCACTTATGTTACGGCAGCAGCAAACCTACCCAGGTGTGCTGGGTTTGTGTGGCAACGTTTTGGTGGGGGGGGCAGAGGTGGGTATGGGTTACAGGGGTGGCTTCTGTGAGAAGTTGCTAGAAGCTTCCCCTGTGTCTGATGGAGTCAATGCACCCGTCTCCAAGACAGACCTGCTGCTGGCCAAGGCTGAGCCCACTGGTGATGGCGGTAGCGCCTTTGGGATAACATATTTAAAAAGGGTGCAAAAAAAACCTGCACAACACCAGCAGCAGTCAGAAGAGAGGAGTGACAATATGTGAGAGAAACAGCTCTGCAGACACCAAAGCCACTGAAGGAGGAGGAAGAGGTGCTCCAGGTGCTGGAGCAGAGATTCCCCTATAGCCTGAGGTGAAGATCATGGTGAGGCAGGCTGTGCCCTGGAGCCCATGAAGATTAACGGTGGAGCAGATCTCCACCTGCAGCCCGGGGAGGACCCCATGTCAGAGCAGGTAGATTTGCCTGAAGATGACTGTGACCCTGTGAGAAGCCCACACTGGAGCAGGCTCCTGGCAGGACCTGTGGCTGTGTGGAAAGAGGAGCCCACGCTGGAGCAGGTTTGCTGTGACCCCACAGGGGATCCACGCCGGAGCAGTCTGTTCCGGAGGGACCCACGCTGGAGCAGTTCATGAAGAACTGCAGCTCGTGGGAAGGACTCATGATGGAGAAGTTCATGGACAACTGTCTCCTGTGGGAGAGACCCTGTGCTGGAACAGGGGAAGAGTGTGAGGAGTCCTCCCCCAAAGGAGGAAGGAGCAACAGAGACCACGTGTGATGAACTGACCACAACCCCCATTCCCCGTCCCCCTGTGCCACTGTGGGGGAAGAGGCAGAGAAATCGGGAGTGAAGTTGAGCCTGGGAAGAAGTGAGGGGTGGGGGAAAGGTGTTTTTAAGGTTTGGTTTTATTTCTCATTATTCTACTCTAATTTCCTTCATAATAAACTAACTTCCCTAAGTCAAGTCTGTTTTGCCCATCATGATAATTGGTGAGTGATCTCTCCTTGTCCTTATCTCAACCCATGAGCCTTTTATTATATTTTCTCTCCCGTGTCCAGCTGAGGAGAGGAGTGATAGAGCGGCTTTGGTACGCACCTGGTGTCCAGCCAGGGTCAACCCACCACATGAGGTCACCTATGTTGCCTTCCTCCCTAAGGATCTCCTGCTGGGTAGAATGTGTCTCGCAGCAGTAGTTTGACTCCATGTGTTGAGTTTTTATATGTAAGGTTGCTGCAAAGTTGTGCCCTCTCGTGAGGGTTCAGACAGGCAAGTCCTAGCCCTAGCTCTTCTGTGTGGCCAGGAGAATGCTTCCCCAGCTTAATCTGGAGGGAGCAAAGTATCCTTATAACTTGATTTCAGACATAAGAACTGCAACTGTCATTTTAATTACATGATGACAAAGTTCAAGGGAAACTGTGCCTCTTCACCCTTTGTCTCGCCCTCTGCACAAGTTGGCTGCTATGGGTGAGATTTCTCAAGGTATGCACCACCAATTAATTCTAAGTGGCTAATCCAGTAGCACTTTTCAGTGAACACAAACTCAGTGGGTGTGCGGGGGAGGATGTTCTTGACTGAGGTATGTTGACGATGGCACTGTTCTTTTTCTCTCCCTCCTTACCCTCAACCCACTCCCAATGAAGACACACAGAGCATTATGTCACTGGCTTCTTGGTTCAGGTGGAATGAGCCCCCAAACCGCATTTCCCAGAGGAACCCCACAGAAATGGTGGTTGAGACGTTAATGATGGAGCTGAGCTGGCAGATCAAGCAGGCAGAGAAGCAGCAGCGAGAGCGGGACAATGAGTATCGCAAGATCAAGACTGGGGTGGACTACGGCTGGCTGGTCAGCTATCCAAAGCAGAGCTATGATATCAGCCCAGGAGAACGGCTGCAGCTGGAGGACATGTGTACCAAAATACATCCTTCCTACTGTGGGCCTGCCATACTCAGGTACGGTAAAAGATGTGATGATACAGACCTTTCCTTTCCCCCTCTCTTCTTTATGATAGGTGAGGAGGGAGTGGGAGTTGTTAGGACCAACAGAAGCAAAACCTGGCATCCTGTATCATAAGTCATACTGGGACACTGCCTTTGTGGAAGAAGGGACGGCTAATGTTTTAAGTCAGTTTAACATGGTATCATTTCCCTCCAGAAGTTACTAAATGACATCTCCCTCTGAGACTGTGTTGAGTACTTTATGCTCCTGAGCAGCCAGAGAAGCTTTATCTTGCCTGATGCACTGTTGCCATTTCAGTACTGTGATGGCTTTTGCTTCAGTCCTTAGAATCTTAGAATAATTGAGGTTTAAAGGGACCTCTGGAGGTATGTGCTTCAACCTCCTACTTGGAGTAGGGCCAACTTCAAAGTTAGATCACATTGCTCAGGACCTTGTCCTGCCCATTGTTGAATATCTCCTAGGGTGGAGATTCCACAGCCTCTGAACAACCTGCTTTGGTGTTTATCCAGTCTCATTGGAGCCTTCCTTCCTTGATTGAAGATGTCCAGCAGGTTTATTGCGGCACTTGTCCCCAGTGTCCAGACTAGCCAAAAGGTGCTATTGTGTGAGCCTGTGAGCCAGATATTCCCAGAGAAAGGAGGGTTGCATGCTTCTTCCTTCCCTGCCCTCTCTCCACACCCTTAAATGGAGTAGGATGCAAGCGGGGCATGCAGTTGGCTTGAACAGTTAGGTGGTGCTTCTGCCTTCTGCAGTGTCGATGAAGACACAGTCTCTTGGACTAGCTGTTGAGCCTTTAAAGTGCTAGACATAGGATTGCTGCTTGCCAGCTGAGTAACCTTCTGTGCAAATGCCTTCAGAAATAGATCTAAGCCTGCTGTAGCATCCAAACTGGAAGGCAGGGAGGTGAATCTTTTCCTTTTGGTGGGGCTGTTCTAAGTTAGACCCCCTCACTTAGCACAGTGCAAGTGAGGAGTAGTGACTCTGAAGTCCACCTTAGCCAAAGCAAAGTTGTGAAATGGACCTTTATAATCCACTTCCCCTATTCCAACTTGTTCTTCAGTTTGGGATTAGAAAGACAGTCCTGGCAGGCCACGTACAATGGGGTTCTCAGCAGCCTGCAGTCCCTCACTGCGTATGCTGGCACCTGTTTTCCCTTGAACAAATGAATCTACAGCTCCTGAAGTACAACTGTAAGAGGGCTGAAAATAGCTGGTCCTCTGCCTTACAGTGGGAGCGGCCAGGAAAAGATGCCAAAGGTACCTCTCTAGCCATCATCTTCCCTGGGGCTGAACCTTGGAAGCAAGCTGGCCCAGGGCTTTAGCTCTGGCAAAGGTTGCCATGGTGGCAGAACCAGAGATTTTGGATCATGCAGTGGCCAAGTTCTCTCCAGTGGAAGTTTGCTGGGAACAGCACCTGCCTTGTATTTGTATAACTCCAAGCTATGCTGTAAACAAGCCACTACAAACCCCTTGGGGTTCAGAGTTATTTTCACCATCCCCAGGGCCACTGAGCAAGGCCTTTCTGGCAAACAGGTTATTTCCATGAGAGCAGGCTTCAGTCGCTGGAGTTGGGAGGCCCCAAGGCTCATCACCACCTTCAGAAAAGGGTGTTAAGCTGAGCCATATACAACCTGCTGCTGCTCTGCCCGTGTTTTTTTTTTTTGTTTGTTTGTTTGTTTTTTTTTTTTTTTTTTTTTAAATTGAGACAGATCATGAAAGATGCGTGATTTCAGTGCAGCTTGTAGTGGCTGTCTGCTGTTGTTCAGGATTCAGCATACTGCTGACAGTAGATAAACATAGCAACTTTGGTGGGCTCTATGTGGGCATAATTATAAAAGGGTGAAACCATCCTCTTAAAAATCTTCTTATAAATTGCTATCATAAATTGTATTACAGTATGATACAAGAAGTGGCATGTTTTTGTTTGTTCCATACTATAGAGTTTGCATGGTTAGCAGAGCCGTGTTAAAAAAAATGAGGCTTGCATAACCTTTGTTGGCTCAGTTCCGTGACTGAGAAAGGAATGACATAGCCACAGAAATGGCAGAACTGAATTGGGTCAAAGGCTTGTTTGATCTGATGCACAATCTGTATGTGAGATGGTGGCCAGTAGCATCAGCATAAGGAAAAGAGAAAAGAACGAGAGAAGCAAATACAACAGTATGGCCAATTACAGTATCTTGTATATAGTCTCCAACTTACTGGGCCTTGTAACTTGGAGTTTTGGAGCCAGAAGTGGTCCTTCTGTCGTAATTGCTCAATGTGGCCTCCTCTTTCAGTAGTCTGTTTAGGTTGTGGGGTTTTGCTTTTCTATTTTGAACACATGTAAACTTTTAGCATTTGTGGCACCCCATGGCAGAGTACTACATCTGAACTACAACTCTGCTTTAGAAAACTATCTTGCTTGTCTTAAAACTAATATGTACTAGTTTTATTCGACAATCCCTTCGCCTTATGTTGGAAATATGAACAGTTGGCCCCTCTTTTCTACCTTCTAACAGAGAGCCCTGTGGTTCAGAAAGCTTCACTGCTGACATGGAAACAAAGAACAGGGCTTGCCATGCTAGTTGAAAATGTACAGGAGAAAGAAGGAGCATACAATCTAACTAAAAGACAACCAAAACTGGATAAATTCTCCTCTCAGTGCGATAACGTGGAGATTTTAATAACTTCCCCAAAATTGCACAAGATTAGTATAACAGGAATTCAACCGAAATCTTCACATTTGCAGTGAAATATTTTAATCGCAAGATCATTGCACTGCTGATGTTTCCTCTTGAATACTGTGTGGCTTTCTAGTATGTAGCAACTTCTAGAAAAATCTTCCACCAAAAAAAAGGTTTACAAGCTTGCATTTGGAAGTTTAAATGCAGAGCATGTACCTTACTGAAGCCCTGGCTTCTGTCTGAAATATTAATGTTGATGCCTCCCCTTCCATCTTAGACATTTGAAGTGCTGATTTCCTTCTTGATGTGCTCGACAAGCATGTAATAGTTAAATAACACAAGTTGCATGCATCTTGCAATACTGCAGGGTTCATTTTGTGTCATGCAACGTCTCCTTCTTTGTGAGATTCTGAACTCAGAGTCAAAGCCAGAACAAAACATTTTTGTATGAGTTGTCAGAGATGTCACTTTATTCTCCAAAGGTCTAAATGATTATCCAAATTGTCCTTTTCTGTGGCTATAGTCACATGTAGTGAGAGGCAGAGTTTCTATAGATTTGTGTCTTTAGATGTGGAAGAGGCTGGAAAGGAACACTTCTTAAATGGGATGTTTTTTTTCAGATCCAGTTTGCCTGGTTTGTATTTCAGGTTGATAGAAACTTTTGAGTCTCCTGAAATTCTGGAAGAATTCAGGTACACTGCAAATATCATCAGATATCTGGAGAGTCTGATTCACCTCGTACAAAATAAAGCTAATGCACTGAGATGTAACTTAGCTTTTGGTTACTGGGTTGGAGATCATTGACTATATTTAAAAATAAATCCTGGAGCTATTTGAAGGAAGTGGCTGATCTTGGTGAGGATTTTTGCCATCCGTACTTTGAGCTTTAGCTCTAATCAGAAGTAGTTACGGTCTGTTTCGTTTCTTTGTTTCAGCAAAAGTGAAACAGTGGGTTTCTGTCCTCCTCTGCCAAGGGAATATGGAAATGTAAACCTGCACTTTGGTGATCAGAGATGTTATTAACGCCACAGGCTAAGGACTGTAATTTTCTAAGGGTTGTGTATAACTGAAGTGGACTTCCTAGTATGCTTGGATGTAAGACAAATGACTAAAATCAGAAATTGATTTATTTACGATTACGAGCTTAATCTTGAAGCGATGTGACATGAGTGTTGCAGTTAAGTGTGAATGCCATAGTCCTTTGGAAGTCAAGTAGCCTTCTCTAGCAAAGCTGTTTACAATATAACCAGAATTCCTGCTCAGGAGTCAGCAGCTAATTATTAGCACTAAGCACCCCATGTTTTCTTCGAATGACTAAATCTACTTAGAGGTCCCAGTTCAGACGGGCACTCAGGAATACATTGAACTATAAGCGTATTGTTTAAGTCCACAAACTTCCATTGGATTTAACAGGTCTTTAAAGTTCAGGCTGTACTTAGGAAACCTACAGAACGGGGGACCTACAAAATAACACAGGCAGGTGACAGCGCTTTAAAAAAAGCGGTGCCAGTACGAGCCAAGTGCAGCCAGATTCTTAAAATCCAATGGCTCTATAAGGAAACAGAAGCGTCACAATTCAAACAGCAAATTTGAACTGTGATTAAAACACAGCCTGGACTGCAGAAGGTGTTCATGCCTATGTGTGCATATACATGCTCCCCAGGCTTCTGTGCTGGTTCAAGGGGAGTTTTGTTGATGGTCATGTCTGACCGCATGGCTTGCATAATGTATTACAGGTTAGCTACCAGTAGTATCATAACTTGTTTCACAAGTAAGATAGATAAGTATGCTTTTCTGATGAGTAAGGAAACCCTCTTGAGGGATTTCTAGATAAGACTGTGCAGTTGCCTAGTTTGAAACTATTCCATGCACAAGCGGAAGGACGTTAACCTGTGCTAGAAGATAGGTGAGCCTTGTGCAATTTTGTGCACTCAGTGCCACTGAGCAGCTTTGTGTGGAGTTTGTTTCCCAGGGTACAAGCCCATGTTCCTTGATCCCAGTGGTTTTACTGTTTTTATGTTGCTTGTTTTGTGCAGAGAGGAGACTGGTGGATCATCTAGCACATTAACTGGCTTTCACTGATAAGTGGGGAAGATGGCTTCAGTTATGCGGAGGTGGCTGCAGCAAACATCATCTGTTTTCTGACATACAGACTGGCTTAGCTAGACCTCAACCTCTGATAACGTGTCCACCCTTTCTGCCGAGAAGTATCTGTGGCACACACACCTTTTGGACTTCATACATGGGCTGTCCCTTACACAAACATGTGGGTACTTGAAGTTAGATGGGCATTAATAAAGGGGTGAAGTTAGCTCATCCCACTGGGGGAGAGGAGAGGGCCCCCTTTCCCTTCTCCATCTGAAGGAGAGTGGCTTTTCTTTGGGTCACTGGCAGACAGTCTGTTGGATTGCTGTCTTTTTTTCAGACCTGCTCAAATCCATACGAATTAGTTTTTGTGTAGGTCCTGAAAAGTCAGAGGTAAATCTTAAATCTTCAAAAGCAGAGTTCACAAAACGATGCTTGCTGCCCTCGGTAAGGAGAGTGCAGACAGGCAGACAGCTATGAAGGTGGAAAGTTACACTGATTTTAGAAAACTATTTCATCTAGGTTGGTTGGGAGTGTTATTAGCAACACAGAGCACTAGCATTAGAGCTCTGTGCTCAGGGGGTAAATTTGCCGTTGTACCACTCATCGTCCCTCTAGTTCCCAAAGCCAGTCACTGGTCCAGTAGTAGCCCGACATGTGCTGCTACCTGCTCTGGAGCCACGGTCCAGCAGTATGACACACGGCTTCTAAAACTGGAGGCAGTGATGAGGCCTTTTGGGTGCACGGTTGCCAATACAAAAGAAGAGGAAGTATTGATAGATATATAATATGACAGCATCTCTCTTTAAAATACACATGGAGATAAAATAATGGAATTACTCATTCGGTTCACCTTGCAACAAAGTGCTTTGAAGGTGCTTTCCCTGGTATAATAATAATCATAATGCAGTGAAGACTTGGGTTTCAATGGACTCATCTGTCTATGCTTCTGACTAGGATAAAGGGAAAAATGTATTTATTGTGTGTTTTTGGCTCTTTGATAAGGCAACTGAAGTGCCTCCTCAGAAGGCAGAAAGGATGTCTGCAACATACAGCAAATCTGTTACTGTTGCTATGTGCTAACCCTCAGCAAGACCTAGTCTCTTGCTCTTACAGGCTCTGCATGATTCAGTTTAGCATCACTGTGTAAGTACTTATGTACCAGTGTGAACTACAGCGCCTCAGAGGCTTTTTGAACCCAAATGTTCAAAGTCTAGAGGTTTTTTTTAGCTTCCATTAAGTACAAATACTCAGATTTTAGTGAAGTACTAGTTTAGCTCTATGTCTGCTTGTAGATACAATTTTTATGTTAAGAACTGAGTATTTATTAGGAGTAGCCATATTACCATCTGTCATAAATGCCTGCTATTACAGAACAACTGGAATATCTGTGTGACCATTGTGTAAGCCTGGTGAGTGGATCCCACACTCTCCAGGCTGGGGACCAAATCACCCAACAAGGTGTCAGGAATGGTATGTTCTCTGCTTGGCCCAGCCAGTGACCCACTCAGTGACTTCAATAAGACTATCCTGCTCTGCATCTCATCTTTTTCACCTGCAAAATAAACAGTGGTAATTCTTCTCTTCTCTGGTATTAAGCTAGCTTAACATACATAAAAAAAAAAAAAAAAAAAAGTTGAGCTCTTTGCTGAGAAGGCACTGGGGTAATTCACAGTTGTCTAATTAGATACAGCATTGTGCTGCCAATCAAGATGTTATCAGCTGAGCCAGTCCATTATCTTACAGAAATCCATAGGAAGATGAAATATTACTTCACTGAAATTTAAATATTGAGAGTCTACCAAGCATAATAAAGAAGAGTTTTACAGGGTTTTTGTTTGTCTAGTGGCCACTGGGTAATGCCATGTGGAATGAGAATTGGAAACAGGAAGTCTAGTGGGACTTTCCCTGGTTTATCCTCAGCTTCTGGTAAGCAGCAGTTCAGGGACTACTTGAGCAAGGATTTGTATTTGGACAATCACGTTTAATCAGCAGTGATGGACACATTTTCCACAAACTTGTCTAGTCAATTGCTTAAGAAACAAAATGATAGCACTGAGTTTTGATTTAATAGGTGTTATGTGAAAAGAGCACTTCCTTCTGTTTCAAACTTGCCACCTCCTAGCTTTGTTTGGTGCTCCCTATTATTTCTTGTGCTTATGAGAAACGGTGATTCATTGCTTCCTTACATTCTCTGGCTTGCTTGTGATTTTAGAGACCTTGAGCCTATCTTCATGGCCCCTCCCTGTTGTTGTTCCCTACAGTCCAGGGAGTCCCATTTTGCAAGAGAGTGCAAGTTCCAAGACTAGCACAGTGACTTGGCAGCGATCCGTAATTTGATGTTTTTAATCAAAACTGGGCCTTGATTGTGCTTTCAGATTCCGGCAACGTGTTGCTGAATATGAACCAGAAGTGCAGGAAGTATCCCGGCTCTTCCGCTCTGTTCTGCAGGAAGTTGCTGAGAAGATCAAAGAGGAGGAAGAGGCCAAGAAGCTTGCCAGGCAATGGAACACAAAGAACAAAACCAGCCTCTCCTTAACAACATTTAAGTCTCGGTCCAAGATTTCACCATTCATCAGTGACATCAAGACCATCTCTGAGGATGTGGAACGGGGCACCCAGCCCACCAGGAGGGTTTGGAGCATGCCAGAATTCCGGAATGCCAAGGATTACTGACTTTATACTGAATAAGGTTTTTAGACAGTGATCTTTCAAAAGCCCAGTTAACCCTTTTTTAGCTCTACTATTTCTTCTTTGTTCCAGCTCTCTCTTCCTGCCTGTCTCTGTTGGAAGCTGTGTCTGTAGTAACTGCTGTTGATGCCCGCAGTCTGTGACACAGTTCATTAACAAACAGGCTAGCCTTTCCTTTAATTTAGTAGCTATTCAGTAACCTTAAGGGCAAGGCTCACTTACTATCTCATTTTTATTACTGCTTTCTAGTGAAAAATGAATTAGGTTTGTGATGTCTGTCTTCTCCCTTTGCCCCTCAGCCTGGATGTAGTTATCTATAAAAGCTTTTGGCCCAAACTAGTGAGAGCTGCTGGCTGGACCAATCTTGCTGAAAGCAAGACAGCCACTTAGGTGAGTAAGGCTTGCAGGATCAGGCCTGTGAGTTAAAGCCAGTATCTGATTTGGAATGAAACTCCCTTTTCCAACTACTAATCTTCCTCAGTGCTACAGGAAACTTCACAGGTAACTTCAGCATTGCTCTTGATCAGCTTTTTGCTGACAATTCACAATCCAACCTGAGTAGAAAGAGACCCAAGCTTTTTGAGATGAAAGACCAATATTATTCCACAGCAACCAGTTTATGCATGCTCAGGTTTCCTGGGTATTTTCTCGTTTGTGCAGGTAGAACCCCCTCTGAATCTTGTACCTGCAGAGTAGATAGAAATGTAACAACCTGCTGTGTAGATATACACGCGGATACATCAGTGCTGTGTCAAATGCTGTTCTTGGTCCTCAGTGTTCTGTGTTGCTGAGGTAAGTGCTCCACTCCACATCCTGGTAAGAAGGCAGTGGGCTGAAATTAATGTTTATGGCTAAGCCTGAAAGAGTGCTAAAGTATAGTATCAACATACAGAGAAGGGTGAAGGGAATCAGCATTCATCTACTGGGCTCTTTGTGCAGTTGCAATAGTGGAGGTTGTTTTAACAAGCTGCTGCTGTGAGTAACTGAAAGACTCTGGTAGGTGAAGGTTTGTTTTCTCCATCTTCTCTCATGAGTGCTCAGAAGAGAGTTTCCCAGTATCACAGGCTGCTGGCCAGTGAGTTGATACTATTACAAAAGAATCCTCAGTGCACACCAAGTAGTCTGTAGGCTTGCACGGTTCTGCTGACACCTTTAAGAAACAGGTAAATGCCACTAAGGAAAAGCTAGTAGGGCCCTAACTTAGCATCTGTAGGGTAAGCTGTCAGCAGCAAGGGAAAGAGAATGGCACACTGTGAAAGTCATGGGTCCCACAGAGAAGCCCAGGGCTAGGATGCTTTGTGGTGACCAACAGGAGATGGGGAAGGAAGAGAGGAATTTTCCCGTATGACTGGCTTTTGGGGAATCATCCCAGTGGGGTATAGGCTCCTGGAAGGCCCTGTAGCTTTGTTGTTCTTTTGTCCGTTTCCGACTCTTTTCCCTGGGGATCTTTGCAGCAGCATGTGGGTACTACAGCCAAGATAAAACCCTTTGAAGCTGTGCCAACTCTGGGAGGAATTCCAGTACATGAAATCTATCCTAGAGTCGAAATGTGCAGTTTCTTCCAGAGATGGGGGAGGGCAGCATGAAACAAAGATCAAGATCAAACCCTTAAGAGATCTCTAAGACTGTGGGATTCTGGCTCTTCCTCTCTTTCCTCTGGGCTATCTAAGATTGAAAAGAAGGCTTTCTTACTAGCACCAGGCTCTAATTTCTAGTCCCTTGGTAAACACTGCTGCCAGCAACCCACCTAGGGACAGAAAGCAGAAGCTCACTTTTAATCAAAAACCCAGGGCTTCCAAATACAGCATCCAGTTTGGGACAGGCTATTTCAGCTCTAGGTCAATGAGGGAGAGGTTAAAGCCTTCTGACAATCAGCTTGGTGTTTTTCAGCTGTATGTCCTTGTGAAGTTATGTGGTTGTGTATATGAAGTAAAAACAAAGGCTTGGCATACTTAGCATAGCCTTAGTTGCCTAGACAATGTGGGACCTCTAGCAAGGGATCACCACAATTTGCAGAAAAATTATTGTTTGGAAAAAAGTTAACCATTTTTTTTTTTAAATATATATATAGTTGCAAGCCACTGTATGGTACTGAAGGCTGAGTTCATGAATTTCATGCTACAGCTCTGTAGTAATTTTATTTGCACTCACATTCTATTTGACACCTTCAGTATTGACTGTATTGATGCAATATTTGATGGACTGTGGGGAGAGACGGGACATTCTGACACACTGACATAAAGCTCTTTGTTACAGTACAGCGTCTGCAATGCGTTCACTCTTTCTTAAGGAGAATCAGGAATAACTACCCTTCCTACACCAGTGTACAAAGCCAAGGAAATCACCTGAAGGGTGTTCACACTATCAGAGCAACCTATGATCATACAGAGTTCTGCATGAACAATCTCCAGCTAGCAGATGCCATTCTCGTTTAACAGCCAGCAAAGGGAGACAAATCTGACCTTTGGACAAAGCCATGTATGTTATGGAGGCCAGGCTGTGACACTGCCTGCAACAGCTGCTTTGCCTCAACTTACCTATCATTTCTATTTCTGCAATAAAATGTAATCCAAACTTTTAAACAGTATCATTCTCCCCATACCTCTTCTGCAAGTTACTCTGGGCTCACGGTAGTATCTGATGACAAAGGGATATTCAGATACCAAGCTATGACGTTTCTGTTCTTACCACACACTATCTAGTACTCTTAAAGGTACAGAAGTAGTACCATGTTTGCCTGCAGCCAGCTGCTGGGAGACTGATTGTGACCTTCAGCATTGTGTGTGTACCAGCAGGTACTGGAGCAGAGCTGGGCAGGGCCTTAGGATGCACGACTGCTGCACTGTGCTTGTGGTGCTCATTTTTCTTAGGAATGCTGTCGACTGAACCATAACTGATCCTTTGGTCACGGCGTGCAGCAACAACTCCCCACTCATGTTTGCCTTGTCCTAATTCCACATTTGGTGTAGCTAAATAAGCATTTTAGTTCAAATCAGGAGCATGCAGCTCCTGAGTATCCCCACCTACTGTGCTATGGTCCATGGCAGTGGGCAGGCACAGTGGACAAACTAGATGGATTTTGGATTAAGCTAACCCAGATGATCTATTCCAGCTGGCTCACAGACCATAAACTGGACTAATGCTGGTCTGCAGTAAACCCTTATGAAACTTGCACGGTGTGAACATCAGGTCCTCACCAACAACCGTCTGACTCTACAGCTCTGCTCCTCTTAGGATGCACTACTTGCTAGTGTAGAAAAAAAACCACAAACCCACAAAATATTTCTACACAGCCGTGATGAGATTCTCTGATCTGTTCTTAGCCCCTCCTGAGAGCTAGTCCAGGAAGGGCATCTTAATTCTTTAAGAAGAATAAAAGGTGAAAGAGCAGCACAACATCATTAACAAACAAGCAAACTGAATAAGAACCATTCTAAACCTTCAGTCATTCCCTCAAAACTGAGCAAGGGTTTTTGGTATCAGCCCAGAGCATCACTGTTGTCCCATTGCTGATAGCGTTATGCTGCCCAAAGGGCATTGTTATACCCAGGAAAAAGCAGTCCTAGACTTACTATACATTCTAACAAGTAACCATAACACCTTTATAGCAGCTCAGCTCCAAGGGGCTAACACTCCTCAGTCACCACTCACACCTAAGAGAGACTGTGCAGCCCTGCCTCTATGGCTTCTACAGCCGAGCCTGGCCCCCGGGCTGCGGTAGCAGCAGAGGTGTGCAGGAGGGGCGGCTCCTCTCCCCTATCAGCATATAGTTCAGACAGCTACCACGCCGTGGGGAATTGGAGTAAGCTTCACAGGAAATACCTGTCTGCTGAGATTGCAACCTTCATACATTTCATTGTAGAACCTCAGAGAATTAAAGCAAAGATGTGAAATAAATATAAAACAATTTTTTGTACTTCTTGTCTTTAATTAGGAATGTCCTGTAATAAAATCTGTCCCCACCTAGCCAAACACAACAGCTGTTCCACTGCCCTCCTGTGCACTGTGTATGTATTAAAGGAGGAAGGCAAGAATAGTAAAGGCACTTGATCTAAACAAAAAAACCCCATCCTCTCTTTACAGTCTACAAATGCAGCCACCTGCCTTCGATCTTGCTACCTCTGCAAATACATCCCAAGATTTAAAGTGATAAATAACCAGGATTAAACAACTGCAAAGGTCTTAAATTCTCTGAAGCGACGTGGTTTACAGATACAACCTTGAATTGAATTCTTCATCAGCATGCTTCCAAGCACGTCTTACATTAACCAGTATTACCACAAAATGAGAAGATAGAAATGACAAAATGAATGTTTTGTCTCCAGCTACTTTAGAGTCACTCCTGTTGATTCTGTACTTGCTCCTGGGTACTGGAACACCTTCATATTAGCAGATGGCCCCAGATGGCTCAGGGCTCCCTGTGCTAAGCATCATATATGCAAAGCATGCATATGTTAAACAAAAGGAAGGAATTTTTTTCCCAATATAAAATATTACCGAAGTATGGATTGCATTGCTCAGCACATTCTGGAGATCAGACCGATGAGTGGTTCCAAAAGGGGACTATGTGAGTTCAGAGGGTTAGTAAACCAGGGGTCAGGGTGCAGTCTACAGAACAGGGCTTAAGCTGCTCCTTGCCAGAAGCTGTGGACAAGCAAAGCTCTGTGCTGTTACTCTGGGGAAGTAGTTCCCCAAACATTACTACAGGCCTCTCCCAGGAAGAAAACCAAAGACAGCTAGGCCTTGACTGGATGGCCCTTCTGATATTCCTGTGTTCTGCTACACCTCCCTGATACAGGCCATTGTTCTAGTTTTGCCCCAAAAGTGTTCTGAGAAGCACTGGACTGCATGAGTCAAAGCCTTTTCGGTTGTGCCCTGCAAGAGAAGAAGGGCTGTTAAGCCTCCCTCAGTTCCACCCACCTGTACCCAGCAGAGACATCATAACCTCAGCGCCTGTCTTTCCCTGGTAGTGTTGCCTGCGCTGTGGGCTGTCAGCATAAGGGACCTCTTGTTCCCTTTGTATGATCAGACAAGCCATGTTTCAAGCTGGCTTACATCAAAAAGATGCCGTGCTGGCCCTGCGAGTTGGATCTCAGGCCCAGGTCTCCCAATGACTACCATGTATTTTCTGTGCAGTTGCTGCACAAAGAGATTCTCAAATGAAGGGAAAATCTTTGCAGGGTGAGATCTTAATAAATAACACAAAGGTGAGGAAAAGGGCTACAAGAAGCACAGTGAATTATGTGGCCATTTATGGTTATCTGTGTACACTGTATACTTCATAAAATTATAAATTCTTAGGGTCTTGGCTAGATAACCAGATTACAGCATCTCACCTCTCTATTTCAGTCACAATTACATTTTGCTGCTACCAAATCTAATCTGACCCCGCAGCAGATCCTGCAGAAGTGTGGGAGAGAGCATGTGTTTTCTACACCAGAGTATCTACTCTCAGGATGTAATTACTGTTACACCTGTTTAGTGATCACAATGCCATGTTCTCAGAGGCCTCTACCAGGTCACAGCCCACATGCAGTACCTTTTCCAGCCTTATTCTCTGCAGTATCAGGTTGCCTAAAAAAACAGATCACACCTAATTTAGTCTGAAGGCTATTTAAAAAAACAGATAGGGTATGAAGCAGTGAGAGTGAAATACTCCTCAGGTATTTTTTTTTCTATATTCCGGCACCGGAGGTCTGAAATTATTTAAGAGAAGGAGAAGAGCACTGTGCAGTTTCTGAAGAACTCAGCAACCCCAGGCGGGGATAGTGCAAGAACACCTGTTCTTTCCAGGTCCCTACTGGCTCTCAGCAACTTGCTCCTGTTGCATTCAACTACTTATAAGTTAAAGGCTTCCTTCTGCCTTTAGCACAAAAGCACCAGCAGGAGAGACTATTGTCTGTCCACAGCACAGCCAAGAGCAAGAAATGAACAAAGACTGGATTAAATTCTTAGGCCAGTAACAAACGTTTCGCATAAACAACACATAATTAGGTCTTTGCAGGCTAATTACAGGGTTTCGGATTAAGAAAGTGCAAAGACAGTGTCCAAAGGGAAAAAAAAATAAATTAAATGTCCTTGACAGTGCAGCTGGATAGCAATGCCACCTGCCGGCAGATTCCCCAGCACCGATTAACCAGGAAACAGGCAGCAGCTTTCTAACCAGGCCTCTCCTGACCAACAGCTACCTTTCTGTTACACCACTGTCACCCAGAGCAGAGCTCACCAATGGAGAGCAAAATAAACACAGCTGAAGTTAGCTGTAGTGTTCAGTGCCTTACTGGAACATGGCACCAGTGGCCAGCGTGGTGGTATGGGGCAGCTGTCATCTTAAACATGGTGCCTCTGTGATAGATGTACACTTATAAAACTGGATATGAATGATCTTCACACTGCTTGAAAAGGCTCAAAACATGCTTCCTTAGAGACCTCAGCACCACATGCTGCTCTTCCCTCAGAAAACACTAGACATTTCATACTCTTGTGAATCACAATTTAAGACTGAAATTGAATGGGCAAGAAAACAATACCTGTTGTCAACAGCCAAATAAATCATGATCTCTGCACTGGACAGTAATTTTGATAATTCATTTTGTCCAGAGATGGAACTAGAAGGCTGGGTGTTTGCCAATAATTTTAAGCAGCAGCTTCCTCAAAAGCTTATCACCCAACAGCTTCAAATATAGCCAAGTAGCAGACTGGAGGATTTTCAGGTGTGCCCAGGATCTCATAACCTTCAGGAGGACCCACAACCACTTAAAATCCAGCCACTTCATGGATTGCCCACATGACAGTAGAGAGCCCAACCTTGAGAGTTGAGCAAGAACTCTGGAAACTCATTTCCTAATAGGCACAGCAGAGATCAGGGAGTACTTTTAACAGGTACAACAAAGCGAATCAGAGCTCCATCCAGTGGCCAAGGTCCCCACCAGCACCTCACCGGGGCAGGTTCAGCAGGCAACCCCAGAGCAAGTTACTTCAGCCCCTCTGACCTCTGCTTTTCCCCTGTATATAGAACTCACTCAGTTTTCCCTGCTGCAGAGGATGACTGGGAAGCTCATATATTCCTGCTGCATGAAACATCCAAGTACATCAGAACAGCACAACTTGCCCAAGTTTAGTAAATACTGAACCAGTATCAAAACTGCAGGCCCTGCTCAGCACTGCAGGATGATACATCTTTCAATGGAGGCAAGTACTTCCAAAACAAAGTGGTATTTACAAGTTTTTTCTCATCTTGATCTCTTGTACATTTTTGCACAGGCAAAGGATTCAAGTTCAGGCAAATAATAATAAAAACAAGGGTAACAAAGAATTGCATTGTCCATGAGAACTGGCTGAATCAATTACTTGCATCCACCATTCTTTCACATTTGGGTTTTTGTCTGTTTTGCCTGCATAAGAAAAGAAACTTATGTAACTGTACTGTATCTCCTTCCAATAACTTTTGGGACTACTACCAGTTGTATCAATTGTGGAGAGATCTTTAAAAATACCTGGTCCCTTTCCTGCTTTGTGACAATTACTGACTAGATCCAGGAGGTCCAAATGAGCACCTTCCACCATGGGACTGATGAAAATCACACAGCCCGTTTATATTTGTGCCTGCATAATTACAGCACACAACCAGGAGGTAGGACAGTGTGGTAGCAAGGGCTTAAGGAGCAACAGGCACAAATCTCAATGGACCAAGTCTTACCAATTCTGTTGCCTGTGGCACATGTTGTAAGTGGGATACAATACTTAAAATGCTGCGAAGGAGGATGGGGCATGGCAGCAGCAGCTCAGATAATATATCCTTCCCACCCCAGTGACTTCTGTCTGAAATTCCTGTTGCTAAAAAAAATTCAGTTGAGTTCTGTGTGATTCCCAGAATGGAAAATACTGCAGGGGACATACAGAGTGGGTGTGATAGGGAAGACTGCCACACACACACACACACAAGTTTCTGGAGGACTTCTATTATTCAGCATTTTAGCAAATCTCAACTTGTACAGCCATGTAGGATCCTGCAGCCCCTTATCACCTGACCTCTGCCCCACACCATGACTTCTGATAGCAGCAGTCTCCCTCCATCCCTACCTCATACCTCTTACATTGTTCTGTTGTTCCAGCCTTCATCTTCCCCCTTGATACACATTTTTTTGAGACCTGGTAGCAAGGCTCTCTATCAGGCATTTGCATATCAGGTCGACATCCCACACCACTTCAGAGTTCCCTCATGCAAATTCCTTGATCTGGATTTCATCACATTCCTCTACATCTCTTACCTTACCATCATAGCCTTCACACCTGGTTCAGCTGCCATAATAGTAATCTGAAGCAGTATTAAGCAACTGTGCTTCAGTGAAAAGGCCAGCAAAATTAACTTATTTCCTGAGGTAGCAAGGCATGGACAATTTCTCTGGCTGTATGAGTCTGTGCTCTAGGGAGACTGGAATCTGTTGGCCAGCTCCAAACAGCAGCCTCAAAGATACTCAGTCCCAAAAAGATGCACATGATCTCAGTGCTTCTGGGGAAAGATGGGGGAGGGAAGAGTGCAATATGAACTCAAACCTCTTTAGAAACCCAAGAATCTACATGAAAGTGGGTAGGAAAGAAACAAAGGCGTATAAAAGCAGCAACTGCTGGAACACTTCAGACAGCACTTGTAACTAACCGGGCAGGAGAGAATGAAGTTCTGTGGCTGAAATGATAGCTTGTAAGTAAATTCTGGCACAGAAATACTTTAAAGCATTACCAAAGCATATCCAGCATGTCAAAACTGATCAGGAAAAAATCCTCTGTCCCGAAACAGAAAAAAAAAAAAAATGTATTTTTTGGTTTGGTTTGTTGTTTTTTTAAGAAAAAGTGGTCTGACTCCTTTTCGTACAGTCAAAGTTGGCAACTACTAAAACCCTAAAAGAGGAACAGATCACCTCACGTTACTAAAGGTCTTCTGCCTTTTCCATATTACCATGGAACAGTGGAGGAGTTTTTACGATCCTGACCAATCTTGAATAAAGCAGCAAAAAGTAGATTATTTCAATTAAGTCTGAACCTTCCAGCCAATGCAGTTCTTTACAAGTCTAATCTCTGGGTTTCATGTTCCTATTTGCTTTGTATCTTCCAAATCTCTACTTTCTCCCCTCCAAGTTTTTCAGGAAATTATGCCATCTTAACATAAAATATAGCCTGAGGAACAGCAAGGATGTTAGTGTCTTCTGAGAACGTGTTTGGGATTAACATCGTTAAGAGAAGCCCAGAGATAAAAGCTGCTTACCTGGGCAAGATGCTTTGGCATCGCTAGTTAGAAGATACTAAAGTAGCATAAATCAAAGCATGAGCCCCATGAGAAAAAAGAAGTGGGGTTTTTTGTTGTTGGTTTTCCCCCTGCTGACATTTCAGAACAGCGCTTCCAAAAAAGCTCCCATCACCAGGTTAAAAGTCAAGGAAACTTCAGTTCTTACCTATGTGTTTTCATGTTTTATGTTCATAAGGATGTAAGGACTTGCTCTTCTGGATCAGGGCTTTAGTCTCTAAAGAGTTACATCTCTGTGGCAATTGCAAAGTATTTCACAACAGAAAAAAGAACTAGGGAAAAGACAGGGTTCTGGCATCTTCAGAAAGTTTCACATATCAAAACAGTTTGAAAATTACCCCTTGAGCAATGCTATAAATCTTACTTAAAACACCACGGCAGACAGACACAAAGAGTTTTCCATTTATTTGCTCTTTAATGAACTCCCCACACTCTGACCACTGTACCCCTGATATTCTTGTCAAAGTCAACTACCCTTGACTCCTTTTTTCAGGCACTCCGGAACTGTGGTTCCCGAGGAGCACTTGCTACACAAGGGATTCAAGAAGTGGAATTCCCACATCAGGGTTATGTACACAGGGACCTGCTGGCTATTCAAAAGTCAAGGCTCTGGAAGGAAGTGAACAAGCACTGAGCAAATTCCATGGCTAGCACACACACGCACACACACAGAGTTATGCCGGGGTCCAGCTGCATATCCAGACCTGCCCCATCTCACACTGGACTGTCAACACAGCTGGAGGGTCACTGTCACTGCCTGCCTTGGTATTACTCCTATGGCTTTTCCTCTTTCCATTTGACTAAGATATGCAAGATCTGTCTTGCTGCAATTCAGACAGAGGAAGATTCAATACACAGCTCACGGGATCAGAAAGGCAGGCCAGACCTCCAGAGTTTTTACGTTTAGGAACTGCAACTCCAGATGTGGGGGGTAAACTATCTATTGCGAGCTTCCTTTGAACAGCTGATGCAGATAAACAAACAAAACTTAAGAGTCCTTTCCTGCTGCTATTTTAGGATAAAAATCATTCAGCTACCATTATTGCTCTAGAGTATTTTGCTGTTACACTTTCTAGTCAGAGAGAGCAATAAACTGTCCAGAGAAAGATCATATCTCAACCCCTGAAAAAAAATAACGTATTAGTGAATGAACTGTCAAAAAATCATTTATGTAAAAGGATGTTCTATTTACAAAGGTCAACTTGCTCTTTAGGACAAGTAAAACTACTACTGGAAAAAATATACATATGGAAACGCCTCATCTTTCAAATAGACATTTACAAATACTCTGCTTCGCTTAAACTACTAGAAACATTATGACATTTGAAAGTAGAGAGCATTCTGCATGCAGTTAGAATAGAAATTACATTACTGAACTTCAGTGCGTCATTTCTTATCATTGTCAGTGACACACTCTTAGGCTCTTCTAAAACACCACAGCCTGGCTATTACCTTAGGATCTCAAAAGGAGGACATGGATCTTCATTAACAAGTTATCAGTTACTCTTCACTTTGCCATTAAAAAAGGACATCCCGATTGTCTTCTCAGCAGGAGAGTCTGGTCTTGTCAAACTTGGTGTCCTTTTCCCTGAGTTTCCCTCTAGTGTTTTGCTAGGCAGGATGATCGTCGGCTTGGTGTATTTACAAGTCCTTGGTCAGCACTCTTCCCATTATAAGGCAGAGTTCAGAAATTCAAGGAGTTCTGCACGGTTCCGGTCTCTCTGTAGAGCAGAAAAGCAGAAGCAGCAGTTTAACAGACCCGTACTCAGTGGACCAAGGCTGTAAACTGTTTTCTGTGGGGCTTTCGCATCTCGGGCTGCATAACCCCGCTTTCCGTGAGGCTTTCGCGGCTCAGCACGCTGCACCACAAGCACTCCCACATTCCAGCAGCTGGATGTGACTAGCTAGCAGTTCGGTGTGAGTGCCCGGAGGAAGCGCAAGGCAGCGGGTACTCGGGAGAGATGCTACAGGAGACAAGCTGTCACCGTCGCTATTTCATGAGACATTCTCTAAGTGCCTCCCCGTGGAGGCTCCATCGGGCTGTCAGCATGCAGCTCACAGCCTGCACGGGAGGCAACTCACAAGCAGAGCAGATGCAATTCTCTGGTGTCTGAGGCAACTTTCACTGTATGCACAATGAGTCTTGTGCTTTGGGAAGTATTTTTTTCTATGCGTAAGCAGGAGCTTGCGGCATAACAGAAAAGGAACCGTGAATTTAGGTTTTCTTTACATAAGAGATGGCTCAAAGAGTCAAAACGCTTTTTCCAGTGTTTTTAAAAGTGACCATTAATAAAACAACTACTGAATCTTAAAATATTGTGAAGAACTAATGTTCAATTCAGCATGTTCATGACCATGGATATCAATCAAAAAAGGACCAACATCAAATATTTGACATCAAATATTGTAACAAGCAGGTTACTGGGATAAGGCTAGCAAGCATTCAGCTAACAACACAAGCTTCAGCGCCACAGAAAGAAGATCATGTATTTTTGATCAAATTTAACTTGGAGTGCTCAGGTCTGCTTTGGTAGCTATAGAATGAACTGGAACTGTTGAATCAGGATCCACTAAACTGGATCCCCTCAGCAAAGTAACATGTTTAACACACTCTGACTGGTACCAGAAGCCCTCTGCAGATCACTAAGTTGTGGAAACTGCTGAAAAAGAGTGAACATATTAAAGTGCTGAGTCCAAACACCCACAGCAATAGCACAAAATGCTATTCGTGGTATCTATTTCCCTGGGTATCTCAGCAAAAACATTTGACTGCATTGCGAGAATGCATGAGCACGTGGTATTAATACTACTGGCAACTTTTTTTAATTCCTCTCTAAATAATGCCTAATCTCACACACGTTAGAAACACAGTAAAGCAGCAATTACCACAGTTGACCACAAGAGACTGGAAGATGATGAGCAAAATTAAAACTAGTGCAAATTAAAGGAACAGAGCGCGCCACGAATCAGCTAAACATTATGGACTGACTGAAATTCTAAGAACCTGCACAGGCATCCTTTGGTTTATCTACTCATGCCTGAGCAGTCCAAGCCCACTCATAACACAAAACCTCCCAAAAGAATTAATTTGAATTTCTCAGATGGCATCACAGCCACATTAAAAGCAAGAATCAATTTAAAACTCCTAACTGTAACACATACTGTTCTACAAAAGACTACTATTAGAAAAATATTAAAAAGATACAGTATTTTCCCCTAGGGATATACAGACTATTTTAACTCTTACCTCTTTATCCTCCTTAGACTTCTTTATTTTCATCTTAATTTTCTTTCCAGTTATCATGCTGTAGTTTTCATTCTTCTTTTTGTTTTTAAAGAACTAAAATGAGACCACACATTAGAAAGACTAAGCTTTATCTTGTAATGTTACAAATCTTAAATAAAATTACAGATAATAATCTTTTACACTTCCTAACTGTCCAAAACAATAGATAGGTTTCTATTTGCTGATGACAAAACTGGTGGCGCTATAAACATTTTTATGATGGGACAGATTAAGTGTTTAGATGAGAAATATAATGGGACTTCAGACTCACACAAGTATACCTTGGAAAGCTGAACAGGTCCTGTTTTCTCTCTCTTCTTCTTCTTTTCTTTCTTTTTCTTCATTTTGTTCTCTTTCTTCCTTTTCTACAAGTATAAGATGCAAACTCTTATGCTTGCAGACTCACAAGGACAAAAAAAGGAAATCCACAAGTAGCTCTCAACACTCCGGCTAGTCAGGACAGCCACTACTGCTTGCCCTTACCATGCTGAGTAACACAGAAAGTAAAGCAGCAGGGTGGTTACTGAGAAACAGAAATGGTCTGAGCCCCCATTCTCTCTTATAATGTAGCCCCAATATATAAAATCACTGAACAGAAGGTCCTAATAAAGCGAAAAATTACAAGAAGAATCATCTACTACTCTCTCACTGACTATAAATCATTTCTTCTGACAAAGGCTATAAAGTTATCAAGATTCCCCACTTCTCTTTTCTTCAGAGATTATTCTAAACTCTAGCCAGACCATCAATGATTGGCAAAAGGAACCTTTAAATTATTTCTCCTTTAGTATACAGTCAAGTATATGCCAACCTATCAGTTCAACTACTGTAACCCTAAACACACAATTCAGATTTACATAGCCACAGACAACAACATTACATCTTACATGGCATTTAAAGTTATCAAAATATGAAGAAATATTTTCTGTTTGTTAACTACTTATTCATCTTTGTAAAGGTTTACCTTTTTGTTGTGCTTTTCTTTTTTCTTTTTCTTTGATTTAGACTTAGGAGAATCTAAAATTAAACAAAACAAAACCCTGTAAGTTTAGCATTCTGAGAAAGGCATTTGGTTTTACAGATAAGGCATATAGAAACGTAAAACGTAAGAAGAAAATGCTTTAATTCAGCTATATGTATTACCGCTGGTTGAAACTAACTCTGAGAAAAGCAACACAATAACTTACTGCCACTTACTGGTCTAACATGAAAACTGAAAATACCTCATTTACTCAGTGATTACTTATACCAATATATTAATCAAAAGAGACAATACTTCTCTCTTTCTGCAGCTGTGCTCAAGAGATTGCAAGAATCTGTTTTATAGCCAGGGGTCCTGTCTCTCAAAGGAGGCAACAAAAAGTACTGTCGGGGCTGACAAACCACTGAAAATACTATCACTGTATGAGGCAAATGAAAAACTCTTTGTACTCACTCAGCTCACCTCCCAACTTCAAGGTTTTTAGTAAACTTTGTAAAGCAGGAACTCACAAGGTCTATAAACCAATCATAGATTTTAAAGATTACATTGTGACTGCCATGTGAGGAATTGATTTTGAAGCAGCAGCTTCGACTGTGGGTCTGTAAACCTACAGAGATTGTGAAACAGCTTACCAGTCTTCCAACAGACTGCCTCCAAGCTATCAGCTCTGCAGTTTCTTTACAATAAATTCCAGACAAAACATAACATTATAGGAATATACCAGAGCACATCCAGACTCAAAAGCTAGAAAAGTCTAACGTAAGGCTGCCCAAGCAATCTTCTTTTGGCCTTCTAAGGACAAATGCAGCACAACTGTGTCAGAAGAAACGAAGAAAATCGTAATTCTATCACCATGTTCAGTCTCTTGGTAACAGTGGACCGGACTAAGCACCCACAGGGGATGGTATACCTGGCCAGGGGCTTTTACAAATGTTTGCCAGCATCAGGGAAGGGGTACATTCAAGAACATTGGGTTTCCTTCCAGGCTCTGAAAATCAGTATGATGTGGTGAACAGACACCTGCCCAGTTTTATACTTTTGCCCACATCTCTTCCAGACTCAGCTTTTATCTCCCACCATTCTAGCCACGGTTCTTGTGACCACAAACCCTAGAAAAACTCCTCTAGACCTCTGCACTGAACTGTTGACTTCCTAGGCTAAGCCGGGCCATCTTTTCCTCCTGTTCACTCTGAGTTGCCATTCCACAGCACCTGGTCTCCTCACTAGCTCCATCTGTTTCCATACCCAGCCACCCTGCCTCCCTAGTTCTAGCTCTGATTTGCCAGCTTGTCTCCTGTCTGCAGGGAACTCCCCTCCCAGTTCCACATACCGAGCTGCATTCCCAGTTTCTGTACCCTGATGCCTCTCTTTCCACAGCAAAGCGTGTCCTTTCTGCATTCAAGTTAGCTTCATTTTCCATACAACCTCTGTTACCAGCAAGGTTAGAAAAGGTGGGTGGGGCATACAGCTCAAGAGAGCAGAAGACCATTTCCCCCACCCTCCTTGGAGATTTCCTAGCCACTGCCCAGTGTCTAACAGCCAGAGTTACAGCTGCACTTGCTAAGTAAGAGAAACACAGATTAAAATGTGCTGGAAGAAATCTCCATTTTGCTATCCCAAGCAATGTTAACACCACTCCTGCTACACCCAACACATGAGACTGGGGCAACCTTCACCATTCAAGGTCTGTAACTGCAGGCTAGGCAAGCTATTCCACTGCTCTGCTGCTAGGATGGATTTTTACTAGATCTAATTCAAATCCCTCCTGTTGCAATTTAAGGTCATCATTCCTTGCTCTGAAGTCACACAATGATTTTATGCTCCATCTCCATAGTGGCAACTACCTACACTGGTATATGTGTCTTAGCAGAATTACCTCACGTCTTTTATTCTCTGGGTGGAGCAGAGTTGTTTAAACATGCCCTTGTAGAACATTTTTTCTAGATTGTCTCCTCTCCCCTGTGAATGGGAAAACTTAGGAAATTTTTAGCTGTAGAGTTTTAGCAAATCTCTGAGTGTGCAGACTGACAACTTGAGCCTAATTCAGATTTTTTTTCCATATAAACATGTTTCTTGACATCCTTCCAAAAAATGAATCAGAGAGCATGCCAAGCATGTTCACACATTCAGTGTCTCGCATGACGTTTTAATTCTTTTTAGGAGTTGTAGACTGAATCACACAGAACAAAATTCATTCAAGAAGAAAGGAAGACACACCTCCCCCCCTATCAAATGTACAAGTTCATAGATTTTAATATTTTTGGAATATATTTATGTCAGATACATTGAATCAAGCCACTGAGGTATGTGAACAAGTAATATTTCTATACAAATATAAATCTGCTTCAAGAGAAGCAGAACTAAGTCTCTGTTAAACTGTGGGATACACAGTCACAAACATGAGGTCCTGTACCAAATGGTGACGTTTCAGCTGACCCTGATGTTCTCATCAGAACTCCAGTTCATACTAGAGTTCTTCCCAATCGCAGTAAATACACTTCAGTGTTTAGTCTGATTTTATTTAAAAAGGTAATTTGGTCACCTTACCTGCAGCAATACTGAATATTTCGATACAGAGTATCAAAACAATGCAGTCTTGATATGATCAGTAATACATTCCTCTCAGGGTCACAAGTTATACTCATAGAAAAAAATTCTGCACTTACTCCCAGATAGCATCTACCCTAAGTCCTCTAAGTAAGCAGCAGCTTAGTATGGAAAGTCTTAATCCTGCAATGCCTGCATATGTGTTACCACTGAACTTGGTCATCACCATTAACAAACTTCACTCGAGTCCTCACAGCTAAATGCTTGAAATGTTAGGACTAAAGTAAGACTAAATCAAAGACCCCAACTGTGGTCTAGAGTGACAGGTGAGGTAGAAAAAAATCTGTATTCATTATACTTTCAAAACAGTTTTAAGTATATACAGAGTACTGTTACAACATAACATGTCTTTGAATGGCAGTTTCTATTCTATGTTAATTATTTATCTATTCCATTCTATGTTAATTATTTAAATTAACACAGGAACATTGTATCATGTGTGGAAACAGATACCTTAACACAGCAATACTTGTGAATAGTCGGAAAGGGTTGAGAGAACACTCTGAACATGCAGTATTGGTATTCCACAGTCCCTCTGTGGTGTTTTAGACACGTTTAAGTTAAGGTTTAAATGTTTCCAGGAGTGCTATCAGAACTGGTAAACATCACGTGTATGCACGGTGGTAGCTTACCTCTGCTACTTGAAGAAGACGACCTTGATGATGAGCATGATGAGGAAGAAGAAGTGGATGCAGTGCTAGAAGACGATGTGGATGAAATGGATGATGATCTGCTTCTACTGCGTTTTCGTTTCCTTTTTTCTTTTCCTTAGAATAACACGAGGCAACAGTGACAAGCATGCTAGTAGCTACGGTCTAAAAAAATGATTCTTCACAGAACTTAAGCACAATGAACCCCTATTCTGAGGGGGTGGTGGGCTTTTTTATCCCTCTCCCAGTGTGCCATGGTCCATTACGATTAACAAGTGACAATGCCCAACATCAGGGTCAAACGTGGGGTAACATGTAAAGGATAACACTCACACCATACCACTGAAGCCCATTAGCAATGCCTACCTCGGACTTTCAGCTCTTCTTGTGAAGTTGCACAGAGCGGCCTACTTTTTTCATCCTTTCCATTATCCATATCTAGTGAGAGTCAAAAGAACGGTCAGTAACACCATTCCAAAAAGCCTGGGGGGGAGAAGGCGGGGGCAGGGGGAAACCAGCGGGCACTTGTGAGGGCAGCCCCACCGCCGCTCCCACCAAACCCCGCCACGCCGTAGCGAGGCGCCAGCTCCGGCCCCCATCCCCTCGCGTCAGGGACCCGAGGCCGAACCCCCGTTTTCGCGTCACCCTTCAGCGAACCCGTCGCCAGCGCTGGCGCGGCCCGGGGCCCCGCACCGGCCCCGCCAGCCGCCCGCGGCCCGAGAGCGGCCCCCACACACCACCCGGGTCAGCCCACGGGCCGCGCCGCCGTTTCCTGAGGAAAAAGCGGGCTCCCCCCCCGCCCTCACCCCCTCCACGCGGCCGGGCCCGGCGCGGCGGCTCTCGCAGGACCCCCCTCCCCGACCCACCCCGGGAGGGAGGCGGCCGCTGCCGGCTCCGGGGGCCTCCCCGCCGCTGCGCTCACCAAGGCGCGGCCCGGGCCCCGCCGCGCCGCGACCCGGAAGTGCTGGGGCGGCCCGAGCCCCGCCCGCCGCCGCTTCCTGCCCGCCGCCGCTCCGCGGGGCCGCGGGCCGCCGGGGCCCGGCCTCACGGGCTTCCCACGGCAGCGGGGACGCGGCCGCCATCCCGCCGCCGGGTACCGGAGCCCTTCGGCACGCCTTCCTCCCCCGGCGCAGGGATGCGAGTCGAGCGGAGCTGGCTGCGGCTCGAGCCCGGCCCCCGGGACGTGGCTCCCCGCTCCCTCCCGCCGTGGAGAGGCCGCTCCGGCGCTGCCCCTCGCCGCCACCCTGCGCGGGGATTTGGGGAGCGGGGACAGGCCGTGGCACCCAGCGCCTGTCTGCGCTCTCCCACAGGAACGGGAGGCAGGCACTAACATTTTTCCCAAGCTGGTTTCCGACACCTCGGGCTTCACCAAGTTTTCCACTCCCGTTTTTAAAACACCGTATTCTCAAGCGTGAGGTGACGGTGGGATGCGGCAACAACTCCTGGTACTGACTCGGACCAGAACATATCCAACCTCAGCTGAACCCAAACCCGCTCCAAACAGAAATAACATCCTGGATTGATTCTGATCGTTCCCTCGACCTCGTGCATCTCCATCTGACCTAGCTTAGCTTAGAATTTACCGAACTTCTATGTGCGGCTGCTTTATGCTATTCAAGGATAAACCAAAACATCTGTGAAGCACATTAATTCTTAATCTAAAGCAGTGTCGGGTTTTCTCTGGATTGTACATAAATACTCAGTATGCCACATCCTTTTAAAAAGCCTGCTTAAATCCAGCCAAAAGGAATATAGGCCACCCTCCAGAAGCATGGTAAAATTATTTATTCTTACATTAGTTTACATATACAGTGATGACATTTGGCTAGAAAAATGCCTGTTTAAGAGATATTCAAACAACTACAAACTGTCAATAAGTACATTAAAAACATACTGTATGCTGATGTAGAAATACCCAATGCTCTTTTGGTTACTTAACCAGTACAGTATTATTGAAAAGTTTTTTGGTGTTTTTCATGCAACATCAAAATTATTCCCGGCAATTCATGCTATACAACATTTTTTTTCTTTATTAGGAATGGGATGAAATTTAAAATCCTGTTTACAAGTAGTAAAAATTGCTGGAAATTTTAACATAAATCCCTCAATTGTTGTAATAAAAAGAACCAATTTAAAGAAGGTTGTCTTTAAAAAAATGTATTTTTTCAACTAATTCTTTATAAAACAGTATTTCAAAAGGGGTGTTTCCGTCACCCAGGATGAATCATTTGTGCTTCAAATTTTAAAAGGAATATTCGTGGCAAAAACCTAAACCCAGCTGGTAGGTAGAGGAAAGATTGCAGTATGGACTGGCTAAAACTGAACATGCTTTCAAAATCTGTCCAGGAATACACTAAACACTTAACCACATCACTATGCCATCACCTACTCTAACAATTAGAAATGGAGTTTTAATAATACTTAGCTCTTTTCATGCTCATAATTCTTCACAAACATTTAAATAGTCCTAACGCTTCTGCAAGTATTATTATCCCCATTTTATGCTTGGGGTGGTGGAGGCAGAGAGGGCTGGGAATTTGCCAGGATACAGACCACATCCTTGCCCTCTCGTCTCCCTTGATTCTCCAAGTTCTTCATCGCTTTCTGTAGTTTACACTCAACGTACTGGAAAGTCCCAGGCAACACGGGTGGTACGTTTCCGTCAGTTTTTAGTGGTTACTATGGAAGTTGTGCCACTTTGAAAGTTACATGACAAATATTAAAGTAATAATCAACATGAAGTCCACGTCCAAGGCTCAGGATTGTCCTAGAATGCCACACCATTTTCAAACCAAGCTTGCTCTTTCTGTAACAAAGTGTTAGGGACATGAGGCCTAATTCTCTCTGCTCTGTCGTAAAGGCAAAATGACTCTTAAGTCATGGCTATACAAAAGAATAAAATCTGGCCCTTGCTGTTTGTCCCTGGGAACACGGAAAGCCCCTTCAGTGGCCCAGTACGTCCTGACATCCTACAACAAAAAGGGCATCTAGATGAAAACAAAGATTTCAGATGGGCTAACTCTCCGTAAGGTACAGATAACTAAGGTCTCTTCCCTCCTGTCCCTAAATTTGAAAATATTTGTGTCTGAATTATGCTCTATAAACCCTGTGGGAAAGTAAGTGCCTAGCAATGAGACTGCAGATATAAAATATGGTATTTAGCTTTCATCTTAGTATCAATCCCCCAGTCATATTATTTCAGCTGATATCAACATCCAGCACAGAAAGGGCATTTTTGATTTTGCCACATTTGCCCTCTTGGATTTTCTACCTTATGACTCGTAGTCTGTGCCCTGTTTTGATCTTTATCCTGCCTAGTTTACTCTTAGTCTAAACCCAGCTTGGTTTCTTGCTGTCTCTTGAAAAGCTCCGGGTTTGCTCTGCCAGCGGACTGCAGGAGCAGTGGATAACGTTGCGGTGTTTCGCTACTTGATCTGTGAGAGATGAGAGACACGCAAAATTCTGTCACTTGTAATAACAAAATGACCAAGTGTGCAAAATGACACCCCTCTTACAGGCACCCAAAAGGCTTTAAAAAGGCACGTGTATTCTTTGTCACTTGTTCCTCAGTGCCTGATGTTGGTGGTTTTAGTGCGTCTCCAATAAACCTTATACAATGCACACGTTTCCTTAGAAGGAACTTGGCATAAAATTTAAGATCTTCAGACATAGTTAGTGGTTGTTACTGAGCAGCTGTCTCACCTTATAACAAATGCTACAGCTGCACTACCTGTGAGAACTGGGTTCTTACAGCAACCTCACTCCCTAGTCCATTTTCCTCTTTCTTTCCCAAACATCCCCATTTCTAGCAGAGGGGAACGGTGCATGTTGCGTGGGCTTCTTCTCAAGCAGATATCCAAAGCTCTTCCTGCCTTCTGCAGAGCTGGTGGGCCATAAAACATCTCTTTTGTGCAGATCTGGGAGCAAAAGTACAGGAGTTTTGCCCCGCTTCTTCCAGCAATGCAGCCAGGAGCTGGCAGGCTGGCCGGGTACCCCGCTTCTGGCCCTGTCCTGAGAGGTGAGAAGCACCTGCGGCTTCTTTTGACTGCAAATGGGGACTGTGGATGGTTGTCACCAATGGAAATCAGTCCCAAGGCACTAGGCAGGAACGGAAAGGACATAACAAAGTTATTGTGACCTGGGGGTAGTCTATACAGCTGAAATACCAGGCTAGAATAGTAAGAGGCATTGACATCTTCCTCTGGGCTTTCTGGAAAAAACAGTTCAACCAACCAACCAACCAACCAACCAACCAACCAACCAACCAAAGATGCAAAATCCCAGGCAAATGTTTTCCCTGCCTGACTGAAGCCATTCTCCCTGCTTCAGAAATCCAGGAGGGAGGTGGAGGGATCAAGGTACATGGATTCATATGTGCTAATGTTGAAGTGTTTCCATTTCAGACGGATGAAATGCACTTGCGTGCTTGGGCATGGCTTCAGTTCTGTGTGGGGAAGGGGAGCCCACAGGCCTGCTTGGGCGTCAGGGGGCTTACTGGAGGAGTTTCACCTCCAAATGCCAGTTTGGTGATGGGAGCCAAGCATTCCCCCCAGCCTGGACTGAGCCAAGCCTGGATCGGATGCATGTTCGCATCAAACTGGACTTGTAGCTGCCTTAAAAATGCAGTCTTGAAAAAAAGGTTAAAAAAGGAAAGGCTGATGCTTTGGCAATTCATTATCTGTTACACAGTCCAAAAGCCTCGAAACATTATCAGTAGCTTGATTAGTGGCAATTCACTATTGCATGGCTGGTAGTCACCAGGAAAGCATTTCTTAATGGTTAAAGCAGTCACATTGATCAGGTGCAATTTTCACAATTCCTCCAGATCAGTTAAATCCACAACCACTTTCAAAAACAGAGTGTCATCTCTGATGTAGGTGTTCTTTGTGTTCTCTAGGACCGTGTGCGGCACGAAGCGTGGACATCCAGAGGCAATATTCATTTCTCCATCTGGCCTTTTGAAACTGCTGCTATTGGGGTCAGCTCTAAAGACTTCCACAATGTGATTTTTTTTCCCACTTTGGTCCAAAAGCATAAGTGTAACTTTTTGCTTGAAAGGCCACAGTAGCAGCGAGTCAAACTCCCCTCTCATCACTACAAAGTAGAGAGAGACATGTGTTCCCTTTCCTGAGCCATCCCCGTTCAGGTAGGCTCTCGCGCATAACCTGTACCCGCAGCGGCTGGTGTAAAAGGGCTGGCTGAATATGGACAGGACACGGCCTTCCACTGCTTCTTTTTTCTTCATCTTGTAGTCCGTGATTTTCCAGATTAATTTCCCATTGTAGCACGTGCCTTCCAAAAGCTTGAATCGTTCTTCATTTTTATTGAGCTGTGCTTTGTGAATATTGATCTGGAGATCATGTTTGCTGGACTGACCTTCCAAAACAACTGCGGGGGGGGCGGAGGGGGAAGAAAAAAAACAAACAAAACCCCCCCAAACAAAACAAAAAAAAAAAAAAAAAAAAAAAAACAACAACAAAAAAAAAAAGGAGAGAAACATTTGGTAAAATAAAACTGCCAGACCACTGGATACAAAGAGCAACCAGACTCAAGCTGACAATACTGAACTACTCAAGCCTGAGTACAGGCTGTTAACTAGTGTTACTACACCTGTTAACTTTTTAAATTGTAATTACAACTTGTAGTTGATTAAGGAGAATCAGTAACTACAAACCAGATTTAATGCTTGACTATGGACAGTACCACTGCCCCCATCACAGTGCACCAGCCTGGCCAAGGCCAGCTCTCTGATCCTGCAGTGCCACAGGAATTTGGGATACGCTGTGGAGTAGGGGAAGGCAGACGATGTAGCACACGCCACCACGAGTTGGTCTTGGAAAGCAAGAAGAAGAAAGCCCTTTCTGGCAAAGAGCTGCAATCGACTGACTGTAGCACCAGACACCCTACTTATCCACCAGTAAATCACCAAAAACCCCACATCCGTGCAGAAAAGGACCAAAAGTCCCAACATACCCAAGCGCTGATCGTATGTCTCCATCAGGGCAATCTTCTGTTTCACGTTTTCAATTGTGTCAAACAAGGGCCGCAAGTCTAATTTACTTTGTTGCTGGTTTGCCATCTGTATTAGCTGTTTCACTTGCGATTCCAGGCGTGCAGACTTATCCAGGTGACTGGCCAGAGCCTTCCCAGTTCATGGCATTGGGAGGGGGTGGAAACAGAGACAAGAGACTTTCATAAAATCAGCCATTTCATTTGGAATAAGATAAAGAAGCCTTTAGCATGTCAGCAATATCAACAATATGGTGCATTCAAAAGTACTCTGCTGGCTTAGGAATGTATCCCAATGCTCCTTTATAATTTATTTGGCATTTATTGAGTAAGAAGCCACCCCTTACTTGGATCCATTTGCACTGCATCACTTAATTCACCTGATTATTCAAGTTTACACCTGCACATTTGACATGAGGATCTAGCCATCAGGATTTATACAGTGCTTTTTGCTCAAATCAGATATCCAAGATTCTTTACTGCTTAAAATTAAAAGACAATACTGTATTGTAAAAAAAAAAAAAAACAAACCAGGAAGGGCTTGTGAATTGTCTGGGAGATTTGTTATTTCCCTGCTATTAATGACATCTGTTTCTGGATAAACTTATTTCAGGAGGCAAGTAAGCAATTAGCAAAAAGGTAAAATCAATGTCTCACCTGTGTGCTTACCATCAAGTTGCTATTTTTACCAAACAGCTGTGTAAACTGTCTGAATTCTTTCTCACACTTTTTAATGGCCTCTGCTAGCTGCTGGATTTTAATCTCTTTACATTCCAGGCTCTTATACAGGTCAGATATCTACAGATGGAAAAAACAGAGTAAAACCGCTAAGGCACACCAAAATATACAACAATCAGATTAAAACATATGTGACTATATAGGAGAAAGTGGAAAAGTTTACAGTGCAATGCCTCTAACTTAGCTAGATACAGCATTACTTAATTCACAATTCATGAATAAGCACTGGCAAGAACCAAGCATGAGGTAATCATGCTTTTTACTAGATCTGTCTGGCAACAGGTGCAAAGAGACTCATACCTCTCATCCCCATCATGATGATCCATTGGGCTCTATAGTGGGATAATACATACTTAACATGCACACACATGTGTATTTCTGTGTATATGTACGTATATTTTTTTTTTTCCCTCTACTGAGGCCTAACTAGTAAAAGAGGTGAGTCAATGAGGGATACTAAGTCCAAAAGCAAGTTGTAGCACTTTGGGGCACTTATTTTTAGCGTTAGCAAGCAAAAGAGTAAGTCAACCATCAGTTTGGATGTATTCACCTTAGTAGGATTGGGTGTACACCCAGTGTCACATGCTGGGAGCTGCAGAAATGATCATGAGGGCAAAGGTACTTGCAACTGGCTCTGCATTACTCCGTGCTGCCTCTACAGAGGGGGTGACTTGGGCATCTAAAGGCTCCTTTTTGGAACAATCTGACTGGCCACTGAAACTATAAAATGCTTTATCTCCAAACCTTGTATCCACTGTAAGCAGAGACCAAAAGCAAATGAAGTGAGCAATGGCAACAAGCCTTCCACCGTGCTTGGTGGAGAATATATGTGCCTGAGCACAGAGGGGTTTCCATCTAATTGACTGACTTCACTAGAAGAGCTTATTCTGACTTCTGAGGTGTGCAAAGATGATAAAAACAGTCTTTTAAAATGTAGCTGAGCTAAACCAGGCAACAGATGTAGAATCTCAACTCATCCTCCAACCAGCCAAGAACTGCTGAAAAGTGCTCGTTAAATACAACATACCTGTTCCTCCAGCTGGGAGTTCTTGTCCAAAATCTGCAGCATGTGTTCCCTCAGGGCACCGTTTTCATGTTCAGCAAGTTTCCCTCTTTTAACCTTAGTGAGACAGAGGGAGAAGTTTAAGAATAAAATAGTAAGATACACAGATTTTTGAAGGAGTTAGTAAAAAATTAATTGATGCAAGCATTTTAAATGTCTCCTCTGTGCTTTGAAAGTGAGGGAATGGCAGTCCTGATTCTCTAGTACAGCATCTTAGCCAATACTAGAAATGGCTGTGAAAGAACAAAAATTGGTTATTTCGATTATTTACTCTGATTGGTTTGGGACACAAATTCCAGTCCCAATATAAACAAGATCTATAAAACAGTACCTTTACAAGACAGCCATACTGCTTATACGGGCAGTCCACTTCTGCCTCAGGGCACACGGCATGGTGCTTTTCAATCTGCATATATTAACAAAGAAAATTGTAATGAAATAAATATTAAGTAACTTGCCACACTGATAAAATTTGAATGCCTGCATAAAGGGTGAATAAAGGCCAATGTCATGACACCACTGATCACGTAAACAGGAAAATGAGTATTGAGAGTCAATAAGCAAGCCAGATATTTATCCATTCTGCAAAACGCCAATGGTTTGCAGTGACCAAATGCGTCACTTGTCAGATGGGACATATACCCCTTTTAGGACCAAACAAAGAAAACATTTAGAGCAATGAAGTTTTATCAGCATGGACCAATGTGGTCTGCAATGTAACTTTCAGTTTTCATAAACATGTGTGATGTGCTAAATTACAGTATCTGAAAAAAATAATAATACCTCCTTTTTCAGAATTATTTGTGAACAGTTTTGGAGACAAGGCACAGGATAATCAGGACAGTCATTTTTCTCATGATTCTGGGGGGAAAAGAAACAAAACTAGGCAATGGTTTGCATTTTTGTAAAGTAGTATACATAGAGGAAGCTATGCAAAAAGTAATCCCAAACGTACACGTGCAAGCCCCATATCATGAGAGCAACATTAATTGGTATTATTTAAAACACATTTATTATACTTTCCCCTTCAGCTCCTCAGACAAATTTTGTTTCAGCTGTTATTAAGCCCCATTGCAATGCTGGAAACTTTTCACTCAGCAACATTAAGAGGTAACACGTGCTATGGATTCCCAGCAAATGCTTTATAATCTTACCTTTATGTTAATTAACACCACATATTTATTACAATACTGACACATTTCTTCTCGAAATTTACAGTGCTGGCTCAAATGCTCTTTCAGGTCTTTCCGAAGAATTTGATCACAACATCCATCATTAGTGCATTGCACGCTTTCAAACAAACACTGCTGAAGATGCTCCTGCAACACACAACAGCAAATGAACCCCCAAAGTATTTAATCCCATCTGTAGGTACCAAACAGACTCACAGAAACATTTGGCAGTTTGGTAACAAACAAAATTCCAAATATTCTCTCCTCCATAAACTCTTTCCTTCTCTAACCTCACAACTAAAGTGAACATGAAAATTTGGAGAGTCCTTTGGACTACTTCCACTTTTCATTCAATTGATATACTGAAAAAAGGCCCAAATGGCCAGTATGTCTTGGCAAGTTTTCTTGAATCAACCATCACGTGGCAGGTAAGCATACATAAGGTATGTACAGATGCTATGGGTATACTAAAGCTACATAAAGCAAATGGTTCTTATTAAACAAATAACCTAAAGCAAAGCTGGAACAAGCTTAATATTTTTTACTTACAGTGAATAACTAAGTCATAATCTTTGTACTCAAACCACATTGCTACAATATTTCTGAAGTCTGAAGACAATTACTTGAATGTACCTCATAATAAATACACAGAGTTCACATGAAAATCAAAGGCTTTGAAATCTGATCAAACAAACTAACCTGATATCGTCCCAGAATTACTTTTGAATTGCAGTCGGGAATGTTTTTGCAGAACACATGCAAGTTGAGAACTTCTCTTTTACAGCAGTTATCTTTGAACACCTGTAAAGGAAGCAAACCAGCCTTCATATGCAGTCACCTAGGATGATATAAAGGATATAAAAAAGCAAAACATCACAACAAATCTCTTAAGCACACAAATGTAGGCTCCATAATTGTAAGGTTCTCAATAATTCATATTGAAAATGTATACTAAAAATAAAAGCTTATATGAATTTTCTAATAACCATAGAGTTTTTTCCCCATATAGTTTTTCAACAGATGCTGATCCATCCCACAGGCAGCAGGATTAGTAGCTCAGGAGCTACAAAACCACTGCCAGAGCCTGCCTGTATCTAGAAGAAAGCAGCTGGAGGTAACGGGCCCCAAAGGCCAAACCAGCTCTGTGCACGCTCGTCCGATGTTCGAGCAGTGCAGCACGCCTTTGGGATGGAGACGGTGCTGAGATATCCCTTCCATAGACTCTGAGAAACAGCATTGTTCCCAGCGGTGTATGCAGAAGCAAATTAAGCCCCCAGAGCAAACTTTCAGTCTTATTTAGAGATCTTCCTGTAAGGAGCATTATAAAGCTACTCACTGTTGCACTACTGCCAACAAAATTTGCACAAAGTAGAAGACAGTGAATGAAAACCAAAAATCATGTGGACTGTCTGATTGCAATTTACTATCAAGAGTAGAAGAGAGAGGAAGGAGACATTTGATTTCACTGGAAAATTAATTCTGGCAGGACCAAATATGGAGCATACTTTCAAGCCTCAGCATACAAATACAGACAAATGAATCCATTACAAAATAAGAAAAGTACCTTGCAAAATAAGAAGCATAAACTTATCCTTTCCTCTAAAAAGTTACCCCAAAGTAAATTAACTCTGTGGGCTTACTGAGATATAATGGAAATAGTTAAGGCAGCAAATTATAACCAAGTGAAAACAAAGACGATCAGATAAACGAGATGACCCAGCAAGATGGAGCCTTAAAAAGGCAAGTCAATACACTCTTCACTAAAAAAGACATATGATGACTAGGGAAGATTTAAAACTGTGAAACTCTTCAACACTTTACTAGAAATACAAAAGACTAAAATGAAATAACTTCAGAAAATGAGGTCTAAAACAAAGCTTTAGCTAACACCCACACTTCCTTTCTAGGAGAGGATAACTGAATACACTGCTTCCCTAGCATCATTTTAGAGACAAAAACTGCTCTGCCCCTGAGGACCAGCAGACCGAGAGCCACCTTGTTCTCAGCTGTCTTGCCTTTTCCGTGCAGATGTTAACTGCTGCAGTAAAACTACAGCCACTTACCTCATGCATTTTTATTGTTTCTTTGTCAACAGGACAGGTGGGTACTGTGTTCAACTCTCTAGGTCAAAAGAAGAGTCATGTTAACCCACAGAAAATTTGATTTATTTTACAAAACTGGACTATGCTGGAATCTGTTTCTGGCAGAAGCCAGTACTAGATACCATAAAAACCAAAAAAGTGCTTTCAAAACACTTTCACCTGGCAATTACAGAGCCAAATTCTGCCCACAGCTCTAAGAGGGCATTAAGTTGCAACAGTTAATATGTAACAGAAAGTAGAGTTTGTCCTACCAGTGTTAATAAGATGGTTTTTAATTAAGAGGACTTTGTCACTCTCTGGCCATCTGCTGCTCACAAATGTCATATCTGAAAAAAATCCCATCGCGTGCATTAAACCCAGCCTCTGTCTAGTGCAAGCAGCGCGCTCCTTGCTACACCAGTAAAAGAAGATCTAATGGCTCCTGTCTTAAACAGCTTCCAGAAATCCTACAGTAAGGGATGGGAAAACACTTACTGAGGCAGTGCAAAAGGGAGGCAACCCAGAGAGAGAAATCAGCAAACATGAAGCATCTAAAATTCATAAAAAGTAAATGGCGACATCCATCCACATAAACAGGCTCCCCTGCAGCCTTCCCGGGCCAAATCCTGCCCTCAGGTACACTAAACAGCACCTAATGTATTCTCAGACAGGTCTGCGAGGTAAATGCATTTGCACCTGCAGATAAATCCCACGGAGATGGATGCCAGCAGCCTTGTGATCTGACTGTGGTATTGGGTAATACTAACATCAGTTTTATAACTCCACTAAAATCAAATAAATTATACAGAAGCAAATTAAAACAGCTTAATCTAACCCCCAGTGCCAATACCGTGAGACATCAGTGCAGCAAATTAATCTGAACAGCACAATGACAGGCAGACAGACCGAAACAGCATCTCACGCAGTAGTGCTTAAGCTTATATCAACAATTCCTTTATGCTGACTTCCCTGCAGTTACCGAAGTATTCCTCGCCAGCACCGGGTAAGGTCTTTACAGACACCCTTAAAACACTGAGCACAGTCCTTGAGTTCAACAGAGTCTTTCCATTGACTCCTTCAGCGTTTTATCAGACCAGAACTATTATTATGGCCCTCACTGGTAAGTCTGTAGAAGGTGTTGACTTCTTTTTAGGAAGGGGACTACGGGGAGCTCACGGGTGCAGGAGGAGTTTGCACTGACCTCAGAGAAAGAATGCACTGCTGGCAAAATCGGTGCCCGCATCCCGTCTGGTGGGGATTGCGAAGGACGAGGTGGCAGTAGGCGCACTTGTACCGGTCTTCTAAGGTTTCGACAAACTGGTAGTCGGCATCAGGCTCGAAGTCCAGAGAGACAGCGCTGGTGGAGTTCTGGCGTGTGAAGATGCCTGACAGAGCAGCGGGTTCGTCACAGGCCATGGGAGCTGCACCCGGAACCAGACACAGGGAGAATCCCTTCAGATATTCACCGGCGGCCGCACCACCTCGGCTACCGCTTGCAGCAGGCTGCTGCTCCCGAGAGGGCTGTCATCTGCAGCAGGGTGCGACAGATTTTGGAGGGAAACGCGGCGCCAACTATGGAAGAACAACAAAGCGCTCAAATTTTTTGAGCTCAAAAAAAAATGTTCAAAACCAACAAAATGATGGTTATGCGACAAGCATCAAAGCAAGCTTCTTTGGAAAAGAGTTTCACAATCTGAAAATGATTCCACAGAATAGAGATTTTTATGTGGTTTTTGTTGTTGCTGTTGCTGGTTTTTTTCATTTTCCTGCAGCAGCTCTTAGTCTCAAAAAATTACAAGAGTCAGAGACACAGTTGGGGAAAGCAGAGGCCAAGCCTTGGCCCTAACATCTGCCAGGAAAATCTACACAACATAGAGCCCACGCACATGACTTCACAAATTCATTGCACTGGTTCAAGCTTTGTGGTTCACAGCAAGCATGCAAAAAAAAAAAAAGGCAGCAAGGGGATTTTACCTTCAGTTTAGGTGTTACAGGAGTCAAAGCCTCTTAACTTGACATCTTTCTTTTTCCCGTTGATCGCTCATTTATAGCAGTAAACTCTAATCCTATTTTTTCTAAGTTTTACTGAATTATGTGCAAGTTCTTGGCTATATTAATCCTGCCTGAAAGAAAAAGTGGGAAAAAAAAGAAAGAAAAGCAAGACTTTAATCAGAAATGTGACGTCTTTCTCTCAACCTACCAAAGCTCATTCACAGCACAGGAACGCAATGTTAATTTTCTAATAGGTAAAAGCAGCAACATTTGTTTCCAGACCGGAGTCAAGAACCTTGAGACTTGCCACCGGTCCCTCAATCTTGCAGTAGTTTTTTTTTTTTTTTTGCAAGTAGCTCAAGACCTAGAGCCACTCTGGTTTTAATTTCTTGCAGCTCTGCATTCAGAAAACATTTTTTCCTTTCAGGATGTGTACAAAACTATAACGCACCTGGGCTCTCGGATTGTTTCACGGGTGAAGGGTTCAATTTTATAGCTGTGCTGTGGGATGCTATTTCTCCTCTGCATGCATCACCCGCCCTGTCAGTCACTTGAGTCACTCTTACCGGTATCAGCACCTCTCCAAGAGCTCTGACTCAGCTCCTGTAGGGTCAACTAAGGGTATCTGCTGCTTTCACATGGAAGCAGGGCCAACACATCACCATTAATAACCTCACAGCTGGCATGAGACAGTATGCCAAGTACTGATATACTGCCCTACCTCCCTGCTGAAACGGATTCCTGGCCCACAAAAGCAGCGATTAGTACTGGGCTAAGCACGGCCCAAGAACTGCTACAGACCACCTCAGGCTTCAGAAAGCAACATCCATTTTCCTTTCTACTTTAATACCCCATAACAGGAGAGGAAATCCTGCAGACAAAGTACCTGATTCAAAACCAAGCCAGAGCACCTAACCAACGAAACTGTATTTCACAGCAAACAGTTACGTGCTCCTGTGACTCAGCACCTTCTTTCATGGTTGTACACGGAATTTACCTGCCCAGCTTGTGAGAGCCTCCCTGCCCTCCACCAGGCTGAACGTCAGGCTTGCCCCAGCCCAACCGATCATCCAACATCGGCAGCCCACAGGAATACGAGCCCTAATCATATTCCAGAAAAAAAGACTTACTATTCCAACTGGAGTTTGCAAATTACCCTGCTTGGTCCCTCCAAACGAGCAGCCTTCTGCTTCAAACCAGAGACGATTGTCTGTGCCGCCCCTTTCATTTTTAAACAGCTGACCTTTTCTGCTCTGAAAATGGGGTTCCCAGTTCTCTGACGCTTAATAAGGAGCAATTCTATTTCTTTCGTGTCAACCAGAGATGCCAAAATGCAGCCCGAGGGATCACCAGCCTCATGCCTGGGCTGCCGCAGTAGCAGGGGCCAGCAGCAGAGCGTGCCTGCTGCTTTGAAGGCAGATGGAGAGCTGTCACTGTTGGCTTCCACGGCGCAGACTACCTACAGGACAAACTTCCTATGAACTCATTCCGTTGTTAGTCGGTGAGAACCCCAAAACATGTTTCCTCACTCTCTCTTATTAGTGCTTTCTCCCATTTACATGGCATCCAATTTCCTGAGTCCTGTTACACTCCAGGACTGATATTATCTGATGGTATGGTTTAGCAAGTTAATGCCACACTGTGTAAAAACACATAAACCTCCCCCCCCACCACCACATTTTACCCATTTTGCCCTTAAGGGTCTACATTAACTCTAGCAGTACTTTCAGCTGTTACAGTTATGCAATGTTACAGTTATGTAATGTTACAGATATTTTAGGCAACAAAGTTGTGGAGTGTATATACGAAGAAACACAGTCACCAGCTCGAAATCCCATTCAGAAACTCCTTCAGAGCTCTCACCGCCCATTAAATCAACCACATTCACTCCCATCTCCTTCTGCAAGGAGCACGCTGCTGTGGTACAACGCCTTCCAACTCTCTTGCTGAAATGAGGGCCCTTATCTCCTTAAACGCCTTCATGACGCACCCAACCCAGATCTCATTCCTAAAAAGGGAGACTCTCGGCATCTCCATGAAAGCGCCTCCTCCACCTCAGCCTCGCTCAGGAGCGTGTTGCACAGCCGAGGGCACCTCAGGGCACAGGCAAGAGCAATTCAGGTGAAAGGCAAGCTCAGGGGGCAGAACGGAAACCTCCGGGTGCCCAGACCACCAGGGACACTTGCCACTGCTGCCAGCCTCGCAGGAGGTTTGCCGCAGGGTTTGCAGCTCTTTTGCTGGAGGAAACAGGCTGCCCCATGCGAGGGCCTGTGGATGGCGATGCTTTGCCCAAGCTGGAGAGGTGCCCCTGTGTGAATCAGCGGGGCAGACGAGACGCGAAACGGCATCCCACTGCCAGACCTACCGCCGGCCAGCGCTCGGCGGGATGCGATCCAAACCATCGCAGGCAGCGCGTGGTTCCCGTCCCGGCGCCCACCGGTGACGCAGGGCGGATTGCAGAAGCTCTTCTTCCACTTCTGGCTTCCAGAGCCTGCACCCTTGCTCTTTGAACTGAAAGCAAAGGGAAACTGTCAGGGGAAAAAGTGGTTTTTTTTGTGACAGTGAGAGCACGCCAATGGTTAACTGAATCAATTTCCTGCTTACGCTAGTGCCTGGCCTGCGTGGGAGAAGAGGTACGCTTTCACTTCTGCCGGTTCACAGCTAAGAGCAATGGGAACTTTGTGTACACTGCGATTTTTCAGCACGTGTGTGAACTGTAATGCTGTTTTAAAATATGAGAGTAGCAGGCTCATGCTGCATAACGATGCTCTTGTGGCAGATGCACAACGCACATGGCACAGGGATTTTCACTGCAACTCCACTTCAACAGCACACACGCACAAAAAAACCCAACATATGGACACTGAAAATCTACACATCAAAAAAAAAAAAAAGATTTCCATATACTGAAATAAATAGATTTAATTCTGACTGTGCATAGAAAAGGAGCATGAATCACTAGAAGATAAGCCCAAATCCTATAAACAGCTACCAAAGAGTGAGAACTCAATGGCAGCGCAATACAAAATGCTCCCAGCTGCACCTTCCTACCATTTCAGCATCCCAGCCCTGCCTGCACCAACAGCAGCACACATAAAACGCTTCTGGAACAGCTCCTTATATAACAGTGTTGTAGGCAGCTGTTTAACCTCACTGGAAATGATCCAAGGAGGAGAATTTTCATAACAAAAATAAACTTTCTTAAACATGGGCTATCCTGTTTTAAGTACCACCACACCAAACTGAGGCCAAACATTTTCCATTAAAACGTTCCACACTTAGTGTATCTTACCGTTCAGAAAATGAGCAAGACACATGCAGGACATGATAATAAGGAGAAAAATCAGCATGGGCATGACTTACTATAATATAAAATTACATTAACATTTTTAAAGCCATGTTCAAACAGTTCCCTCCAGCAGCACTGCTGCCAATCTATACCACCAACAGGCAGGTGTGCAACACCAGCATCACATTGAACTATTGTGGACAGATGAACTTTTTTTAGTCCTGCTTATCATGCCTATAGTGGGGTTGCTCTTTTAAAAGAGAGTATGTTTTTCCTGTTTTCTCTCACGTGAAGCCAAGCCCCCCAGAAAGATCAACAGATTACCCCATGAGCTGTGAGTGCACCACTACAGCAGGCTGAAGCACCAAAACCTCCAGGACAGCAGACTCAAGGCACAGGCACTGAACGCCAGCACAACTTTTAGACTGAGACGGGGAAATTGGTGAGTTGTTATCACAGATTTGGTCATCACGCATGGACTAGAAGACAGGATCCTTGGTCTTGCTGCCCAGAAATAGGGGCTTCTGCCAGGTTCACTGCATGAGGGGAGGGTAATGCTCAGCTGCCCGCCAGGACTGTGGTATTGCTCAGCAAAAAGCAATTATTTATCATGCTTCCACGAAATACATACAACAGGGCATAGGAAAAAAAGTTATACGCCTATGATCCTATTCACCTAGCTCTACTTCAGCTCTATTGCTTTGTCCTAAGGCACTTGGTAGGGATAAGTTGTAGAAGATGCTCTGTCCCTCCCCCTGGAAACTATCTATTTTTTATGGTACCTCAGAACTGGAAGCCTATCTTAGTCACACTGGGGAAAGTTTTGTCATATTTAGAGGTCTAAGAACGATTCACTTCATTGGGAGCTGACAGGAAGAAATATGATAGAGAACATACCTTGCATTAAAATGACCCTCTCCAAGATGCTTTATAAACTAGGTAGATTAGCTGCCTCCAGTATTTTTTAATTAAAATAACAAAGTTACATGATTTACTACTAATATAAAGTCTTCCACAAACCCACTGTGTTATGGGGACAAGAAATATCTGCCCCAACTCTTAACATACGGAGCAGAACATGTAACAGAGTTTTCTAAAGAAAGATTAAAAATATCTATACGCATTGAAATCCGTATTTAAGATACAGCAGATTATATGGAGTCATGTGAAAAGAGCAGATGATGACATCTGACATCACTGAGGGATTATCCTTGTCCCTTCCAACCCAGGAAGAGTCACAATATTTTGACTACTGACAACAAAACGTACTTGCAGTGTCCCCATGGGGGGAAGGAACCCCCCAGCCCAGAGGCTGTGGAGGGAGGGGACACCCTATTGCTCGAGCCACCGATACTTGGGGCTCACTCCTACTTCACCAGGCAGCAGGTCAGCCTCAGGAGCTGTTTTTGCTGTTGTCCCAGTCGCTTAAAACCGCGGTGCAGTGACCACCTGGTACACAGGTAAGAATATTTCTAACAGGAATAATTTCCTATTGGATATGTGCCTCAGGCCCCCCAGGGGATATTGCTGCAGAGGGCAGAAGAGTAAATTTATTTTCTTTTGTATATAGGCAATATTATCCAATTCAAGTTCCAGTATTACATTATTCTCAAAGCACAGTAAAACCTTACTAAGCAAGCATCAGTTTGCTAATCTCCATAGGCAAATTTTCACTAAGCAGAGTAAGGTAGTAGGGTTTCCTTTGCATAGAGTTACAGTCAAGCATTACAATAAATTCCCAAAAGACTAGACTTCATTGTTTTTTAAGGCACAGATTACAACACAGATAGCATTTTTAAAAAAATTTTCAAAATCCCCTGCTCTTACAACTAATGAAGTGCG